GCATAAGGTGTTTCAGTGAATGCCTTCCGTGTCACAGTTTCTGAACCTACACCATTTACTCTATGCACAGGCTCAGGTGGTTGGAAGCTAGGGTCGAAAGAATAGGTATGTTCTGAATTGAAAGCACTTTGCTGATCTAAAAATTGTGGCAAGGCATTGTTAAGATGCAAACCTGACTCATTTACTGCTGGCCTAGCATTCCTGTCTTTCAACACATGGGAACTATGCTGGCTGACTTCCACCTCTGCACGTTTGCCCAGGCAGATATCTGCTAGGGTCTTAAATTTATCTCCTAAATCATCCAGAAAACGGTCATCCAAGTCATCCTCAATAAAGCTGCAGCAGCCAATAGACCCAGGTGGGGAGTCTCCTTCTTCCTGACAGTAAAGCAAGAGACAGTCTTTCGCTAGCTGAGCTTCATCTTCACCAGCAAAAGTGTCAGCTTTCTAAAACAAAGGAAACAAAAGCTGTTACCAATGTTGTTTCAAAACGTTATAGGCACATTACCAACTTAAAAAAAAAAAAACAGCTGAATTTTTACTGAAATATTTTTTACTCGCTATTATTATCTAAAGCTATTTCTAGACAAGGGGGGGGGGACCTTTTTGGGGGCTGAGGGCTGCAGACCCACAGAAAAATCAGTCGGGGGCCACACACAATTGAGAAGCAAAAAAACCCCCCAAACAAAGCCTCACTGATGTGGCCTCGACCGAGAAGGAGAAAGATACTCACCACATTTGCACACTAGAGCTCCAGCTCGACAGGAGGTAAGCGGGGGAGCTGGAGCACCAGCATGGACTCCCCAATGCTGGGGGGGGGAGCCACAAGACTCAGGGGCTTGATCCAGGCAAGCCAGGGGTCACATCCAGCCCGTGAACCTTAGGTTCCCCTTCCCAGTCCAAATGACGAGCTACGGGTGTGACTACGCTAACATACACATACTTGCACTAGATCTTATTGTTCTAGGATGAGTATAAATAGCCATGTAGCCATGGTAGCATGAGTAGCGACAGTGGTGTCATGGCTGAGCTGTGCCAATGACAAACTTGCCTGAAACCGGTGGGTATGTACTTGGCACAGCGCTGCTACCCATGCTACCATGGCGACACTGCTCTTTACTTTCATTCTAGGTAGGGAAGAGCTAGTACCCATAAGTGTGCATGAGCAGAGGAATCATAAGCCCTAGCTTGTAGTACAGATATTCCCTCAATGTATTATAACTGAAAGCCAGTAGAAGAAAAGAAGATTTCTGTCTTTTTCAATTTGCATAGAGGGCACAGTTGGTGCCAGTCAAGTTGCTGATTCCTGTTTGTATGTGGGTATTTCACACAGCAATAGATGGTGGGGAGAAAAAAAATGTAAAAGAAATAGAAAAATTTGATTAAACCCACAGAAATTATCAGTGGGGTTGAGAGACAGTAGCTGAAACCAGTTTGTATTTATTATGGAATGATTTAATGTTGTCCGTGCCCTTAAAAATATTTCAGTTTTTTAAGTAAATCAACTATTATTATACTGGTGTCCATTTAGGCTCTTCCTCATCTCCTCAAAAACATATCCCTTCATTCTTTTGCAGATTTGCTAGAAAAATAAATTGGTACTGTTCCTCACTGATTACTGATGTATTCAAGTCATTTCTGAGGTGTAATCACTGGAATTGGAAAGCAATGCATTCTGGTTTAAATGTGTAGAATTTGTATACTACTAGCAGGGGGTGGCCTGTGGATGTAGGCAACCTCAGTAGTTGCCTACGGTGCCGCGTTTAACGCAGTGCCCAATTATGACGTCATGCCATTGAGGGCTATGGAGGCGGGGGCGCCATTCGCGCATTCCGCCTAGGGCGCCAGTTGCCGGCAGCTCTCCTCGAGCCACACCTGACCACTAGAGACCTGATCCTTCGAAGACTTAAGAAGGTGTGTAACTTTACTTGTTACTATTCTCCTACTGAAGCCAAAATTACACCCATGGTTATGTGCTTTGCTGGATTGGGGCCCAGGAAGAAATGGCAGATAAGACTGTGAAGACAAAATTTCTTTTAAAACAAAATGTGTATCAGATAAACAATCCTGATAAAATATGTTTAGGTTTGAAATAGAACTAACAGCCTTTGACAATTTGCTCCCACAAGATTTCTTTGTTTTAAAACAATAACATCAATATGTGAATAGTCTCAAACAAGGTTCTTACGTCATTGAAGTAATCTCTCAAAAATTCTTCATTTATGGCCCCTTCAATTCCCATCGCCGTGGTTCCTCCAGCTCCCATTGTTGTGACCCCGCCAGGTCCCATCGCCATGGTTCCTCCAGCTCCCATTGGCGTGACCCCGCCAGGTCCCATCATCGTGGCCCTGCCAGCGCCCATCGTTGTGGCCCCGCCAGCGCCCATCCTTGTGGCCCCGCCAGCTCCATAGTCTGCACCAGAAAGGAATCTTTGCTCTTCCCATCTCCTATTGATGATAGAATTAGCATGGTGTTCTTTGATATGGGATACAGAACTGCTTCCTCCTGATCCAACTGCCTCTACTGCTGCTCCTCCACTGCGTCCCTTTGCTTCTGAAATGCTCAATGGGGGGGGAGCAATGAAGCTTAGGGGTGCCTGAAACAACAATTAAAATACAATGTGAAACGTGCTCTGTGCTGCGCATGGAATTCTCTAAGCAGTTGTGCTAGGATGAGTCCAGGAGGGAGGGAGTTGGCATGATTGTTTCAATGAGCTGTTACAAAAGTGCCTTGTGGGCCTGAACCTATACCATTTACTCTATGAAAAAGGGCATGGCCTTTATGATTTGTGTAGCCAAAGAAGCTTATAAAAGCCAGTTTAGGGATATATGGTATCATCCTCCGTTAAAACCAATGATAGGGAAGTAAGAAACATTGTGAACTTGCTGGAATTTCCTCTGGCAAAAATTTTCCAAATACTCGTTTCAGTGAGAAAGGAGAGTGATCTCACGCCACACCTTAAGCCCTCAGATCCTATAGCCTCTGCAGGCCCCTCTGTGATGCTGCCTGGCTGTCTTCTCTCCCATGGCAGCTTGGACATATTGCTATTTCCCAAGGAGGATGCAGGCTCTAAGGAGAAACTCATGCCCAGTGATTCTGCCTGGGTATTTACCAGTTCCAGGAGAGAATATGCCCATGTTAGTAATTACTTACTGGTCCTGCACCAACCCACCTGAGCCTCAGCCTCCTGTAATTGACAAACTGGGGCTTGCATGCCAAGTACTCACTGTTACCCTCACTTTCTCCTCCTTTCCAATTTAGTTAAATCATACTTGCGCCCCTCCATACATCATCTTTTGTCTGCTGCATTAACACACCCACAGATTGGAACTGACACTTCTCCCCTTACAAATGCAAATATTTAACTCTTTTGTGGTTTGTATATTGGAAGCACCAGTACTTCTCCATCCCTACTTTCTGTTTAGCAAAACAGCAACATCATGGCAGATGTGGCAATTTCTTGCAATAAATACAGTCAAACCTAAATAAATACATAGATTTAAATCTCCCAGTGTGTATAATTCTACGGCAAAGGTGAGCAATAATTTTAGACAGGGGGCCACTTCACACATTTTTGACCCTTACTGGCCTGGGGGTGGGACAGCATGTGAAGTCTTTGCCTCTGCCCTCCCCAGAGAGAACCACGAGCTGTTCTGAACAGGTGGTGGTTCCCTCTAGACACTCGCCCCCTTGCAGGGCAGGAGGAGACTTTGCGAGCTCTCCCCACCCCCAGGCAAATCAGGGCTGGGGGGCGTGAGGAGCGCACAAAGTCTCTTGCTTCATGCCCCCGGCCTGCAAGGCAGGACATCCGCGGGCTGGATCCAACTACTTGGCGGACCAGATCTGGCCCATGGAGGCCTCTTTGCCTGCCCTGTTCTTTGGGGTAGGGCGATCACAGCTCTTCCAGGAATTAAGAACAGAGGGATGATTAGGCAAAGTCACTGAGGATGTAACACATCCCTAGAAGTACCAACACCTGCAAAGGCTAGCACATACTGGTTCAAAGTGAATTCTCCAGAGTCCAACAAAGGGCTTCTGAATAAATAGCCTGAGTTTAAATTGAGTCTTAAGGCCTTATTTCTGGTCCACCAAACAGACAGGACCTTTTGTCCAAGGTAGACGGGTGTGAGGATTGGGGGAAGGTGCCCAATCATTGCAGAAGGGTTTGAAGGAGTGACTTTTACCAGAGCCACTACTGGAGTTATGTGAGGAAGGGTGGTGAACTCTGGTACACTTATTAGCAGGGGTCGACAAATTATGGAAAACCCTACTCACCAGACAAAAAAGGGACTCGCCACCCTCCCCCACAAAAAATGTTTTTTTAATGGCATAAATTCCTAATAAGAATAAGAACAGTAATTACTAATAAGTTAATAATAAATATCACCCAAGTTATTAATAAATATCTTATAAACCTCTACCTTTTCTCTCTGCTTCCATGTCTCCTCCTCTTGCTCCATCAGCTCCCCTGGTGCCTGCTGCCCCCCCAACCCATCAACCTCCTCTGGTGTCCTGACTCTTGCCCTTCTCACTGCCATCAGCCTTCCTGAGACCTGCACCCCTACGCCAGCCCTTCTCTCCCCCCTGTGCCCACTCCTCCAGTAGCCCTACTCTGCTCATGTGAGTTACCCCTCCTCATCCCCTTCTAACACCTCCCTTGCCTCTCTCCTCTGGTGCTGGTCCCGCCCCTGCAGGTGTCTGCCCTTCTGCTTCACCCCAAAATCCCCTGGCACCTGCACCTTCCCTTACCCCTGCACCTTCCTGGTGCCTCCCCCTTCCCTCACTACTCCTGTCCCCTTTGATCTCTTTTTCCCTGATACTCACCCCCTGACCACCCTCTGCCCCATTCCCTTCCTGCCCCTCTGTGACCTCACACAAGCCTTGCTCCACCCCCACCTTTCTCATGCACACTACTTCTTTCAAGCCTTCTCCCAGCACCTCCCCCTCCAGCCCCCAATCTGTCTAGGTTACTCTGGACTCTTTCT